TTAACTACGGAAGGAAATTTGCGATGTGTGAAAATTGCCTTTTTTCTAGATTTTCTGAAATTCCGCACCGTAGAATTTTTTAAAAATCTTTGTGCATTTTCCTTTTCAAGTGCCAAAAGCAATCACTGAAAAAAATCACGGGGTCACCGGGTTAGTTTTCGAATTATTTAAGCCACAACCTAAAAAATGCGTCTTAATACGCCTGTGAAAGCGTTGCCATGGAAACTGCTAGTGACGAAATGACACCTATTTTTGGATAACCAATTATTATATAATTCAACCCCGTAAAAGTGTTCAACCGGCCATAGTTAGTCTTTCTGTTGTATTCTTTCAAAGTTACAAACCATAAAAAAGATGAAAACCGGTACGAGCCACCTTAAACAGCCGGTGCACTTCCCAGATTTATACAGCATGACGTCATTTGCACTATGTCTACTATCAAGCTCACGTTTCGAGGAAAAGCGAAAGTTTGTGAAGTAGTTGTTTCTTCGGGCAACTTGTCTTTTTTTTTTTTTCGGGCGAGATGACTCTCGGGCGAATTGACCAGTTACCTTCATACGGGGACGGAATATGGTCCAACGATAAATGTTCCGAAATATGAACATTTCATAGGCAAGATTAACAAACCTTACTTACTCCTTGCGGTTCCGTTGTGGTTTTCGGCGATTTCTGTCGTTTTGGGCTACCTCTGCCATCATTGTTATAATCTTTCGCTTTTTCTCGAGACGCGAGTTTGTGACGCTTGTGATTGTTTCTACACTGTTTTCACTAACATCGTGACGTGGAAACATTTTTTCTACTGTACCTTAAAAGCGATAACTCTGGACCCTGATCCGATGTGTCTGTCTACAACAGGAGAATATTACAACATCTCATTTAGAAAACACAGTCTCTTTTAGTATAAGGAGATTTCACGAAGAAAAGATGTGATTGGACTTCGTTTACAAGTATTGGGTATATGGGGTTACCACAAATTCTCTTACATCTTTTATTCTACCTATAATTTTCATGTGACACAAAACAGTGATCTCTTCATAAACCAGAAGATTTCTCAACTCTTATAAAATGTTCATCCGCTGACTACATTTCTTCTCCTGTGAACCATCTTGCTTAGTTCTTGTTTTGTGTTTCAGTTCGTAATAACAACCACACAACACCAAAAAAAAAAGAAACAATAACTTTGAACTACAGGCTACAAGCTTTATGAAGTAGGGAGTGGTTTAACCCTTTACAGCCCAGCATCAGTATGCATGTTCTCTATAATGTTCTCTTTATATTTCCTGAGGTGCTGACAAGGAGAATTTGTTTAACAATCAAGAGCTTTTTTAGTTGGTGATCATTTCCTTTATTCTCGTGCCCTTAGTGTGTGATTCAGGGGTGATATTTTAAGACAAAATTAGATGCTAATCACTCTGAGCAGTTTAAGGGTTGGAACAGTACCCCTAAGGCCTCGAATCACGCTCACCCCAACAGATGTTTTACATGATACTCCGTTCCCTTTAAGTTCAACTTCATCTTTGACTCTATGGGAAAGAAAAAAATAAGAGAGTCAGAATTAGTTCAACTCTTTACACCCTACAAAAATTAAAAAAACAATGTGATACCAAAGCATGGATGCAGTTTTGTCTCCTAGGAAAAAAGACAAGAGAAATGTGCTTTATTCCTAAGCAAGAGCTAAATTTGCTTTGTGGAATTTTCTAAAAATGTAAGGAAAACCTATTAAATCACTTTATTTTTCAATTTTTTCCCATGAAAAACAAACACATGTCATTGCAATTGACTTTCTTGCCCAGGTTGAAACCAGTAAGTTAGCTAATCTTCCACAAATGCAAAAAAAAAGTAATCATCTCACTTTTAAGTAAAACTATAAAGCCAAAACATTATGAAACGCTGTTATGATAAACTTACATGGACCCTTGAGAGTTTCCTCCTTCATCAGAAGTTTTTGCAGATTTCCTTGCTGATGGATCCTGCAAAAAGAGTAAAAAAGTTTTCTTACAGTTTTCAAACTGGCTTACTGCTAGCAGTTTTATTAATTCTTCATTATAGTGTATAAGGAGCAAAAATAACTTTCCAGTCTCTGCAGGAGATAAGCAGGTCGAAGCTCGGGTTGAAGGTAGCAGTTGTGTTGGGAGATTTGAGACTCTCATGTCATACTTATAGGTATAAAAATCCTGAATAAATTTTCATCCTGAAGAACAAGCAATTTGTTGCCATTTTAATTAAAATGTCAGAGGGAGAGAAAAACATTCAAATATTCACTTTATGTTTACTTCGAATTGTTCATTAGATGACCTCTACAAATTGCAAGAGAAACCAGGCGAAACAAGGATCATTCACTGACAAACATAGATAAGTTTCTCTCGTCTGTTTAGCTTTCACACTCTATTTCCTTTTAGGCATGATTGTTCTGTGCAGAGCCTGGAAAATACTATCCATCACATAAAAGTATAAGTCAGAGCTTTTTAATCACTGTACATGTACTTTCTCATCTATTGGTTTGCAATTTTCCATCAAGGGGGATTGCAGGTATCCAAATTTAAACAGACTGATGATCAGCAAGGAAACTAATCCCTGACAACTAGTCAGAATAATAATCAGGAGATGTAATCAGTCATGCTAGATAAGAAAACTAAAATTGATAAAAATAAGTCACAGTTTGCTGATAAAATTCTTTAGGAGAAATAAAAGATAGTAAATTGACACCAGATGCAGTGGATGCTTACAATCAAAGCTTTGTATTCCTGTATCATCTCCAAATCCTCTTGATCTAGTTTTACAGCATAGTCTTGTATTCCTTGCACCCAGTACTTATGGATAGCTGCACATCCACCAAGCCCAATCTCATGCAGAGCATACTCCATAGCATCCTTCATGAAGGAGGAAAGGATATTATTTTAAACATGAAAAATGTAACATCTAATTGACATCTAATGATTATGGCCCTGATTATCTAAACTAGTAGTAAAAACTCACTGGATCTATGTCCAAATTCTAATTTGGCTGCAGATGATTTTAGTGTTTGCTCTGATTCACAGTTGTGATTACTTTGATTTGGCAGAAAACTGTTCTAGCAGCAATAATCTACAAAATGACTTACTATAGGCATAAAGAGAAGGTTACATTTCAACTTCATAAGTGAAATGTGATTGAACATAAAACTGTTGCAAACAAAAAGAGTCTTTCCTTGGTGCAGGGCTGTTGCAAAGTGCTAGCTGTCGGGTGTTGGCAAAATTTGTCAGATGAAATAGCAAGAATCTGCAGCTGGATTTTTGGCTGGTAGTTGCTTGGCAAAGCACAACTGACACTTCTAAGGTTACACACTTCACACTTGAACCACCTCACTTAAAAATTTCAGCCAGCAGAGCAATTTATTAGCTACAACCCTGTTGGTAGCAAACGTTGGACTCACTGGAAAACCTGTCCTCCCACTTAATGCATTGTTATCAACACTCATTCTCAAAAGACGGCAGAGCTTGGTGTTAAAGTCATCAAGGATGTCTGTTAGTATTTCCAGAGAAGATTCACTGGCCACTGAAAAACAACAAATTTGTGTCTTTAATGTATTGATATCATATCATTTGAAGTGCGCTGTTAGTTTTTTGATGCCACATTAATATCATAGTCGTGATGGTGGTGGGGGTGACGTGTGATAGACAAAAGTCAAGCAATTTAGAAAGGTCTAAACATTGAAATACCAGATCAGATCAGATTTAAGAATAGCAAAAATATCAAATAGAGTTTTGAAAGGCTTACAAAGGATATACCTGTCCAGTAATTATTATATGGCTGTGTCTCACAAGGACTGGGTATTACCGAATTCACAAGTTTGATTGGCTGAAATCAATATTGAAAGCGGTCTAGATTTTCCCATCTAGACCGGCATCTTGACCGGTCTAGAAAAAAAAAGGTACAAAGAATATAAAAAAGTGGCATATAAGACACCGCCATGTAATAAATATCTTATTAACCGAGCTAGATCGCTCTGTATGGGAGAATCTTGACCTCGGTCGCTGGTACAGACCTCACTGCATTTGGTCTGTACTGGCAACCTCGGTCAAGATTCTCCCATACAGACCTCCTGCTCAGTTAATAAGAACTAAGTAAAGACAATTAGTATGGCAAATGTCACCACTGATGCTCTCTATAAGTACAATGCCATTGTTACCAATAATGCACATCCAGGAATGCTTGATGATAAACAAAACATGGCACAGGGCAGGAAGGAATGGAAAAAGCTTGTGGTATAACTGAATGATGATGATGGTAATGATATATACTTAATGATAAAAATAGAAAAAAAACGCACTATCAAATCCTGCCAATGCACATAGGGTAGCTACTGACTTCATCAACAAGTGTCTGTTGGAGGCACTGTCTAGCTCTGCGCATGTAAGGGTAGAATGGGGTTCATGAGGGCTGCAACAGACATGATACATACATGTATTGTCAGTGATAATGCTATAATCCTTTTACATAACTAAACCTTTGACAGTATAACAAACCTGAACATGGTCACCTGCTATTTTTCTGATTACCATTAGATGAATTGAGAGCAAACCAATTAGACTTAAGTTGAATTTCTGATCAATCACAGTATCATACTGACAATGTTGATAATTTTGTTCATAAATGATGAAGTGGGAAAAAAACTCTTTTGAATAACATGGCATAGAAATATCACCACATTATTCCTGCATATGACATGGAAAGCTAAAAGGAACTTATTAATAAGGAAATGCAATCATAGCTGGCAATAGCAAAATGAAAAGTAAAAGAAATAAACATTAAGATTATTATTGACTATTGCGAGCAATTACTGCAACTGGTTCACAACAAGTGAAATTTAACTCCTTTCTTTGAAACCCATTCTTAGATTAATTGGTTTAAAAACATTGGTTAGCCCAAGTTACTTAATGAACAGATTGCTCAGTAAAATTTGGAGGATGTTTTATCACTAAAAACCCTTTTTTGAGCCACTTCTCTGAAGACCACATACTATGGGCATAACTAAAGTGAATTCTCATTTCCCTTACTCTACAGTTTCCTGGGCTCGTGAGAGGATGGTTGTTTGTGTAGGTGGGGTGACAATTCCATGACTGGAGCAGAATCGCTTTGATCTTGGTGGATGAGCAGGTAGAGAAGGAGCTTCTGCACCATCTGATTTCTGATATAAAATAACCCACGGATCATAGAAATTTGTCAATTTTTATTCACAACATAAAATTAATACAGAATGAGAAAAATGATAGAAATTCACTTTCTACTGGTACATCACCCATGTACTGGAGCCAATAAAGGTACTCGTCATGAGTCAGCCATATAACACTTTAAACCCACACGCGACTCACAATTCCTCCATTCACTCTGACAAAGGGCGAATGCTTGAAACATTCAGCTTTTAACTCTTTATGGTGGCCAATTTATAATTTCAACTTAGTGTAATTACACACATGAGCTGAGAAGACAGAGGAGGTTTGCCACACCTCTTGTAAAGACAAATAGATTTGGAAATTCATTCATTGTAAAGAGTTCGAGGGAAGCATTTAAGTGATTTTTAAGTCAGAGTAGTTGTCTTCGTAATTTTATTATAGTAGTAGTTATCGATCATTTCTTATTTCTTACTGGTAAAGAGATGCAATTCAGTTTTTTAACTGCAATGTTTTTCTTAATAAATACAGTCTACAGTCTACACTATCATCATCATCATTATTATTTTTATTACTATTATTATTACTATTATTATTATTATTATTATTATCATTACCATTCCTTCTCCATGTTGATGTTGGGCTGCCATCAACATCAGACGCATTCGTCTTTTGTGATGTTGTAGTTCAATACAGTGCAGTGTTAGGTTCTGTGAGTGTTTATCAAGCGGCGGTTTAACAGACGCCATAAACTTCACCGGCAATCTATAATTAAATGAAACTGATCAGTAATACCAACAAACAGATTTATATACTTTTCTTTGAACTCTACCTCATCCTTAGAATCGGCTGATTTAAATTGTCGATAAACTATTGGACGTAATTTCGACTTTCTCTCACTTACTCGTCTTTCGGTGGAAAGTGTTCCGAAGACGGCTGATGCAGTCTAGGTATTTCGTAATCTGCTGCTTTGGGCTCCGTTGTTTCAACATGTAGGCCGGGTGTTTTTGGCAAAGGAGAATCAAGTTCACCCCAATGTTCAACATAGGTCGATGTTGCCGCCATATTGATTATTGTGATGTATTACTGAGAACTGGAACTTAGGCCACAACCTGTGCGACTGACAGATACGCGTAACAGACTTCGTCTTGTCGCGTGACATGCTTTTGATCAGCCTTACGCAGATTTCTTCTGACTTTTACTCCTTTTGTCATAAAATCGAAGTGAAATGAACCCCAACGACGAAAAGGCGTCTCTTCTCCACTCTGGACGTTCAAATGCCACTATTTATTCCAGAAACTTGTCTCAAGAGGAAAAGATTCTTGAGCTATCTAAGTCAAGAGAATTATCCTCAAAATACAGATTGTACTGCAGAAGATGGTACATGCTTCTGGTCCTGTTTGTACTCAATGTCTCCAATGCTATGGTGAGTCATCGAGATCTCTTAGTGCTGGAAGTTGCTTGTAGTTTTCCCTTCCCAAAACAACCACGAAAGTGAAATCAGTTGTACACTGTAGAAAAAATTCAGTTTGAATTAAATTAATCAGCCTTTCGTTGCTTTGAAGATCGTGTGAAGTATCTAATCGATATCAGCTTTCTCCTTAACCCACCTCAAATCTAACATATAAATTATACGCACATTAATACTATAACAACATTAGCAATTTAGAGACTTGGAGATGGTCCTTCATTTTGTTAAATGAGATCAGTTCTGACAATTACCATTTGTCAATTGTGATGACAGTCATTGCTTTATCTAAATCACCAAAGTTAACGTTGCTCAACCAAAAGAGAGCTTTTCCAGGTGTGCTTCAAATTTTATGATCCTTCAAGTACCCAAGATCTGATTGATAATTCGGCAAGATTTCTGTATAGCCCCAGACTTCATTATGCATACAATTCTTGGATAAAAGAAAGCAGAGGCAAAACAACAGATTACCTTTGGGATTAACGGCTTTGTTTCTGATTGGTATGGGGTTATACGGAAATCTTTCTGATAATTCTGGTTCTCTTTTCTTGTTTTAACGTCTTCATATAGATGGTATGCCTCTACCCATTGTGATTGGCTTTGAGCAGAGGAAGAAAATAAAGGGGCAATTTCATAGAGCTTAGCTGAGAATATAGAGTGTATATGTAACTAGCCTCTGTTTTTTTTTATTCATAAAGTACATTTTATTCCTAAAGAGTTATTTAACCTAGATTTTATTTCTTGACTTAGCTGTGGTTAAGTTTCGCCCCGGTGGCTGACTACACAGCTTCATATTATGGCAAGAGTGTTGATGCTGTAAACTGGCTTTCAATTGTGTACCTTCTTTGTTATTTATTGTTTGGTTTGGTGGCAGTTTGGATCCTTGATGTTCTTGGTTTACGAACAGGGGTAAGTATAATACATAACAAATGTTACCTAAATTGTGTCAATAAATAGAAAGTGGTCAGGTACCTTGACTCACTTGTGGTAGCTCAGAGTTGTATAGTTACACCAGAGTGAGTTTTTCCTTTTCAATATTTGTTTTTCCCCATTTGGCTTGAGTGTCAGACCTTTATTTTTCTTGTGGGGGGGGGAGGGTGTGGGGTACTTTGGGATTTTGATGAAAAAATCCTAGTTAGACCACTGCTTTTATTTACAAATTACATTACCGTCACCGCTGTTATCACTATTATCGATGTCATGAAATGTCATATTTTTAGCTGCAAATAAAATTCATGAAGAGAAATGGTCTTCACAGATGAACTGCAGAGAGCAGCTAGCTGCAAGAATTGTTCCTTTTCACTTGTGATGATCATTTCTTCATCTCATAATCAGTTTTGTTATCATTTTCATGGTCACTTTTGTTCTTAATTATCAGGTTCTTTTAGGTGCATGGTTGAATGCTCTTGGCGCAGGTGTTAGAATTCTCAGTGGACTTCATTTTGTCCATCAAAACAACAAATTCATGACAGTGATGATTGGTCAAACTTTAGCTTCACTTGCCCAGCCATTCCTCCTTGGATCTCCTACAAAGCTGGCAGCCCTGTGGTTCGGAGCAGATGAGAGGGCCACAGCAAACATGATAGCATCGCTTAGTAAGATCTATTTTTATTAACTAAAACCTCATCTTGTTTTTGCATCTTTGATGAGGTCACAAATTCCCTGAGCAAAACTTTTGGAATCAATGATACTTCTTGTGTCTAATCATTAGTTTTGGAACTTATATTAATTACCCTTTAACTCCTACAAGTGATTAACATGTAACTTCTCTCTTTAATATTCATACATTTTCCAGCAAAGAGCTAATGAGAATACAGTGCTCAAACTTATCACACAAAAGTTGTTAACTTGATCTAACACTGAATTCTCATAACTTAATTACAAGGAAATGTGTAGCAGCAAGAGGGGAGAGTAACAATTAATTAGATCTTGGGAGTTAAGAAGTTAAGTGACAGGTCAATTCAACTGGTTCTGTAAAAGACTGATTCTTGTGTGCATTTACATGGAATGAGAAAGTTGAGGCAGATTTAATGTAATTGAAAACCCGATAAAATGAAAAAGGCAGATTTAATTTAATTGAAAACCTGATAAAATGAAAAAAACAATTACCAAAATATTCCATTTCACTTAGAAGCTATGAATTACTGCCTGAGTGAGCTGCCCATAGATCACCTAAAACCCTTTAACTCTCCACTGATCCACTTGTAATTCTCTATACTGACTGCCCTTGTAAATAACATAGAAGATCAGAATTTGGTCTTGTATCAAGTTCACACCTACTCTTAGGCTGATAAGCTTGTCTTTTCTTATGACCTTGTTACAAGATGATACATATAAATCTAGAGGAGAACTGACTAATATTGTGATCGCTTTTGGGAATTTAGAGGTTTCTAATAAACATAAAAAAAAATACTTCTGATTGGCTGAAAATGTAACACTAGTGTAAATTACAAAATAAGCACTTGTCATGACTAAAATTTTCAAAGACTGCAAATTGCACTTGCCCTATAGACTTGTGCAATTGAAAAATTTATGTACCTCAGTCTACAAGAGACATACATTACTTAAAACTGGGATACATTTTTATATCTTTGGCAATTTCTGGTTAACCTTTTTTAAAGTTAATTTTTTTTATTTCATAGGCAATCCCATGGGGGTGATGATAGCTAATGTATTGGCTCCTATTATTGTAAATGACAAAACAGCCATTCCTTTTATGGTATGTTTCTCTAGAAAAGCAGTTTCTAAAAACTACTAGATAGTCAGAGTTACCAAACTTTTAATATTCTTAGCCATATAGGAACTGGATAATTGTTTTATAATGTAATACATTTCTTGACTTATATACCCATTTTATCAATTTGATAATTGTCATGTATTCGGTTTTTCATTTATTTGAAAAGCACATGGAATAGATAATGCGCACATGTGCACATGCTTACGAGAACCAACCGCATACACTACAACACCTCCCCTGTAAGCCAGTCTCTTGTCCCCTAAAGTCCTTAAGAATTTAAAAGTTTCCAAAAGTTCAACGCAACATGCTATCAGTAAAAATCCAGTCTAAAACCCCCCCCCAAAAAAAAGGGCAGTTCAATGTTCACAGATCCATCCAAACTGGGGTTGCCACACTCTGGAAGGGTATCGTTTCACAGGAATATGTTCAATCTGGCTCGGTGAGCTGCTAGTGGACGATTCAGCCACTGGATTACATTTGGGTGACGGGCAGTCTGTCTCCCTCGAGATAACTTCTGTCTCTTCAGGTAGTTCAGCTACTGAGTGATCAGTGGTTGTGGCTGGGAGTGGAAAAGGCAAGGGGTATGAAACTGGCGGGTGTCTGTCTGTAACAGGAACATTGGAATCTCGGAGTTGATCCGTGTGTGGACACCAAACTAGGTTAGGCCCAATCTCCACTTCATAAGACAGGGGTCCCAATCGTGCACGGACAATACCAGGTACCCACTTTGACTTTCCAGTGTAATTTCGTGCTAACACCCTCTGACCAATGGCAAAATGCCTTGTTACAGAACCACTCTTGGCAACAGACTGGTCTATCTGACGGTTGTTTACCTGGATGAAGAGATCTGGTTTTAACAAGTCCAGTCGAGTGCGTAATCTTCTTCCCAAATACAACTGGGACGGTGGCTCTCCGGTGGTTGAGTAGGGGGTGATTCTATAAGTTAGCAAAAATCTCACCAACTTAATGTTCAAAGATGTCACTTCAGTTTCACTCTTCATGGCATTCTTGAAACTCTGGACAGCACGTTCTGCTAGGCCGTTGGTGGCAGGGTGATAAGGTGCTGAGGTGATGTGTTTGATGCCGTTTCTCTTAAGGAATTGATGGAACTCTTCTGATGTGAACTGAGGCCCATTATCACTCACTAACTGGGCTGGTACACCATATCTTGCAAACAACTTCTGAAGGGTTTCGGTGGTTTTCGCTGAAGTTGTAGTGTTCATTTTCTCTATCTCACCAGACCAACACTCAAGGTCTTAAAATAATTGAGAAGAATATGCTACCTTTCTATAACATCAAGAAATGGTTAGATATTCTAGTCTTCTCGGATAGGGACGAATAAATGGAGGTCCCGTCTCCTACAGGGTTAGGGGTAGGAGACGTTAATTTCCCACGCACGAGATTACTGTGTGATGGATGTCCTCCCCTGGGGTGGGATGGG